CTTCTCCATTTCTGAGACCTTGGCACGGGGCCAAGTGGTCTAATCCCTTGGCTGCCTGCCAGAAGGATCTGCGTGCACACGCTCTGCCGGGTGTGGTAGGGCTTGGTGAGCGGGCAAGTGCTCACTGTGTGTCCATTATGCGCATAGGCTATAGTCGGCATACAGGGAAGAAAGGAAAGCAGACAGCCGGCAGCAACTCAAATATTATGGAAAACTGAGTGTCTCGTGCACGAGACAGTTAGAGCGTGGCTTCCTGTGCGTCACCGTGAACAGCAGACAATGCAGCCTTTGTGACCTCGCTAAGGCTGTGGAGGCTCCTGCTCTCTGTGTCTACCGTGTGGGTCTCGGGCGTTCGTGTGAAGCACCTTGCTCGTGAGCGCCTCTCCCGTGAGCGGTTTTACCTTCTTACCTTGTTATAGCATCCTCATGACACCAAAAGGCACACTGCTGGTCTTCCAGCAAAGCAGCCAGACGCAGGGGGAGGCACAAGCCAAGGGACGGTGGGTGCCACTTGCATGTGGTTTCTGTGATGTCTGAAAAAAGCAGAGACGTCTCTGTGGCCCTTTTGGGGAAAATGAATGTGAAGAAACGGCCCCTGTGAAGCAAGGCCACGAACAAAACGGATGGAGATGCTCAATTTCACCAAGAACGTGAAGTGCAAAGTGTTTGACTTCATGGCTGGATGTTCTTTGAAAAGACATTCATTGGAATTCCTTGTCCTGCCCTCTCCTTTAGCTCTGGCTGCTTTTTCTGGGCACAGCGAGCTGCCTAAACTCTCCCATCAGTGTTTAGGCAAACATAAAGCCCACCTTCCTGCCACATGTTCTTTCATTGTTCGTGCCCAGATCTCTTGCAAAAGCTGTTTCTGCTTTCTGATGCCCATAGGATAAGGCCTTGCTTTTATCATCATCAACCGAAAGTAGGTAGGGAAAAAAGCCCACTTTTTATGTTTCTCTTCATTGTCTTTATATGATCAAATAACTCCAGGAAATTGTCCTGTGGTGGAAGTCCCACGGTGGCACAGGGCCCAATCCCAGGAGCATTAGGCACTAACCTTCTACAGGCTGCTGGAATTCAAAATCCCAAATGGGTGTCGTGAAACTTGTACAGGAACATCAACAGTACTAAGTAGCAGTATCGAGATGAGTGGAAGTTGTTTTGGTCGGTATCCCTTAAAGCATATCACAAGGAAGACAAACCCCTCAAATAAGATGCAGACAGTGAAGACCTTAGCCTAATTCTGTGGCATATAACCCATGTTGGTAGGCCCCTTGTGTGGGAATAAGGCCACAGAATGTCTTAGTGTACATTTTTAGGCTTTTAAAGGCCAACTCCCTAGATAGATGATACGTAGATCGATCGATTGATTGATAGATAATGTGTTATGTAAAATTATTTTAGAACTTGTAATTTTATAAAAATAATTTTTAGTAATTCATGTAGAAACAATATTATATTTTAAAGAATTTTATCATATTTTTAAAGAATTTTTATTATCATATTTTTAAAGCTTCTCATCCTTGTGCATGATAATTTATTATCATATTTTTAAAACTCTTAGCTGCTGGGTCTCCAGAGGGACATTGACTAACTGGGATGGGTTCCAGACCCTTTGCACACATCCCAGTTCGTCAGTGTCCCATAAACACTGACAGAAAAAACAAGGCATATGAACCTGAGTCCAGAAAATGGACAAAGAAACAGGGTCTCTCCCCTGTCAGGAGCATTTCCCCCACAATACAAGAAGCAGGCTTGTGACTTGCCCCACGCCTCACACCCACTCCTCCTCAATTCACTACCTCAGACTCTGTCTGAAGTAGAATGATAGAGCACCAAAGGAAGGGACTCTTGTATCTCAATGGGTCTTTCTTTTGGTAGGGAAACCCTATTTCCCACCCAGCAAAGGGGGAAAACTAGGAAGGGGAAGAAGAAGGGCAGAGTGGCAAGGACAGTCTTCTGCTATTCAAGCGGCTCCGGCATCTGTTCTGCCATGTCCTTGACTCAGTATCCCCATGCTGCCCTGTGTCACTCAAAATCCCCTCCTGGGTTGCCTCCCCCAATCTAACTTTTAAGTGTTTCATTCTCCAGTGTTACTTATTTCTTTAATCTGAATATCGGTGACCAATTGCCCGAACACATAGAAGCTAATCAATATGGCAAACAGAGATAAAATGAATGACAAGTAGAGATACGAAGTAATGATATTCTTATCCAAATGTGAGAATTTGACCTGATTCTCCTTGTGGTAGAGAACTATGTTGTTCTAGCACAAATTTTGGTGTGTGTGTCTACGTGTGTCTGTATATAGTGAAATATGAGGATATTAGGACCACAATGGGGAAAATATGTGGAAATTTAGGACATGAATGAACCTGTAAGAGAGTACTTTTAAATCATTTTACAAGTAAAGATTAAAGCAGTGCATAATAAATGATAGATAATAGAGATATCACCAGAATGTTAAGTTTCTTGGGGGGCAACTACTAACTACATCTGGTTTCTTTCATTGCTGCAGATACGCCGCCCAGTACCTAGGAAAATGTCTGCTGTGTACTGGTACTAAATATTTGTTTTCTGATTCGCTAGATAAACCACTGATTTAATTTTCATTTAATGGTTTGTGTTCACTATGCTCATGAATTAAATTCCATATTATTGTGGATTCTTGCATTTTTATTTGTTCCTCCCTCTAAATAGTCAATCTTTTTTAGATTATTTTTTTTGAAGTCACCTATGTCCCAGGATCCTGGAAATGTAAAATGCGTTGGATATTTCTTATGGAAGGAAATTCAGACCAACTTTATTTGACCAGCTCCTTTTTCTAACCCCCTACAATGGCAGGGTTAAATGGCCCTTGCTCAGCCTATGATAAAAATGTGCCCTCATACATGTCTAGTCCAGTCTATACACATCTTGGGTCTTTTCTTCTCCGTCTCCCTTTCTGTGTTCTCCTCTTGTAAATGTTGGCATTCCCTAGGTCCCGGTCCTAGTCCTGCTTCTCCTGCTCCTCTGTTTATTCTCCCTAAGTGATCTCATTCATTCCCATGATTTTAAATCCCAGATGCATGCTGCGGAATCCCAAATACGTGTCTCCAGCCTTGATTTTTAAACTCCAAATCTGTATATTAGTCTGAATTGACATTTTAAAAAAGATTTTATTTATTTATTTGACAGAGAGAGAACACAAGCAGGGAGAGGGAGAGGGTGAAGCAGGCTCTCCGCTGAGCAGAGAGCCCGATGTGGGACTTGATCCCAGGACTCTGGGATCATGACCTAAGCTGAAGGCAGCTGCTTAACTGACTAACCCACCCAGGCACCCTGAATTGACATTTTTAACTGAAGGTCTTATAGATAAAACAACTAAAACATTTCAGTAAATCTAAAACAGAGATCTTCTGATTTCTACTCCTTCTTTTACCCCCACTTATAACCAGTTCTCTTCTCAGTCTTCCTTTGCTCAGTATATTTCCCTGAACAATATATAGGCCTGTACACAGGGTATTGAACATTGTAAAATTACCCAGCCAACAGCTCAAACCATGGAGGCGTCTTAGGTTCTGACCCACCTCTTCACCTTCTAACTCCAATTCATGAACAAGTGTAGTCGTTTTTACCTCCAAATTCCCTTGAATCTGTCTACTTGTCTCCAGGTCTACTCTGAACATCCAAGTCTAAGCTACCATCATCTCTTGTTAACTCTAAGGCAACATACTACTCTTTGTTATCAGTCTTGCTCCTGGAAGAACGAGTCTGCAGCCAGCAGCAAGAAACTCTGAAGTCCATGCCCCCATACCGCTCAGTGTGCATCAACCCCTTTATAACTTGGAAAACCATAAAAAGTTGTCACTGTGACTCGCAGGACCCTGTCCGAAGCATCCCCTCTGTACCTCTCCAAATTTAGTGGATCCTATTTACCTGTCTAAGCTGCTGTGCCCCACATATGATGTACTGGCTGTCCAACAGTTCCAGAAACATGCTTTCCTGTGTTACACCTTGCAAACTATTGTTTCCTGTTGCTGCAATGCTCTTCCGTTGGTTAGTTTTTGTTTCGTTTTGTTTCTTTCTTGACAAGTTACAAATATATAACAGACATCCACATACCTCTTTCTGAAAATTAATGATTATTTACCTTTTGCTATTTTTCCTCAGTTTTTAACATTAAATTATAAAACAATATGAAGTCCCTTTTGTTCTTCTTGCCCCCAAGTTCCATTCCCCTGCCTCCTTATTCAGAACAAGTAATGGGTGCTATTAGTTCCCTCCCTTGCATCCATTTCTTTCTTCTTTCTGGGGCAACTTTAACTTTGTTAAGGCACACACGCACGCACCCACGGCCAATATCCTCATATGTTTTAGCAAGAGCCAACTGTGGCCGGATGTGGCCAAGGAGATATGAGGTCAGGTTTCCTGGAGGCTGTGCTTCATTTTCCCCCAGGTTCCACCAGGGGACACCTGTAGCACTTCTTGAGGCTCCTACTCTCTCTACTTTGTCCTCCTTTAGAGGACAGCCTGCGGCAGGACCTGAGGAATTGGGCTGTCTGAATTTCTGATCCAACGCCAAAGCAGGAAATAAACGGTGTTCTTGTTTGCTCAGTCTTCATCATCTGTCATCTGCTTATCTTGCATAGCTCTCTGCTAGTAACTAAAAGCAGCATCAACAACACGAATAGAAGGAAGTGACTTCCTAAATGTATCCCCTCTCCTCCCAACAATGAAAGAAAAGGATTTTTCTTTTTACATCTGATCATTTTTGTTAATATATTATTTTATTATAACATATTTTAATACATTCCTTATATATTTATTATTTTATTATTATATATTTATTATTTTGATATACTTTAATATATTTATCTTATTTTTTAATATATATTTATGTGTGTGCTTCTACTCACTTCTCCAAGAAACTTCCTTATATAAGGTTAAGTCTCCATTCAGATGTAAAGTGTTTAAAATAACAGTGCAGAACTGACATCTCTGTCTCTCCTCTCTGCCTGTAGGTTGCGGCATGTTTACTCTCCTGTCATCTGCCACAGCTGCTGTAAGTGGCCTCCTGGTGGGTTATGAACTTGGGCTCATCTCTGGGGCCCTTCTTCAGATAAGAACCTTATTAGCCCTAACCTGCCATGAGCAGGAAATGGTTGTGAGCTCCCTCCTCATCGGGGCTTTTCTGGCTTCCCTCACTGGAGGGGTCCTGATTGACAGGTCTGGAAGAAAGGCTGCCATCATCTTGTCATCCTGCCTCCTTGGCCTCGGAAGCCTAGTCTTGATCCTGAGTTTATCTTACACAGTTCTCATAGTAGGCCGCATTGCTATAGGGGTTTCCATTTCGCTCTCTTCAATTGCCACGTGTGTTTACATCGCAGAGATCGCTCCACAACACAGAAGAGGTTTTCTCGTGTCCCTGAATGAGCTGATGATTGTCACTGGCATACTTTTCGCCTACATTTCAAATTACGTGTTTGCCAGTGTTACCCATGGATGGAAATACATGTTTGGCCTTGTTATTCCCTTGGGAGTTTTGCAGGCAATTGCAATGTATTTTCTTCCTCCAAGTCCCCGGTTTCTGGTGATGAAAGGACACGAGGAAGCTGCTAGCAAGGTTCTCAGAAAGTTGAGAGGCATCTCGGATACAACGGAGGAACTCACTGTAATAAAATCTTCCCTGAAAGATGAGTATCAGTATAGTTTTAGGGATCTGTTTCGATCAAAGGACAACATGAGGACCCGGATAATGATAGGCCTGACACTGGTATTTTTTGTGCAAGTCACTGGTCAGCCAAACATACTATTCTATGCGTCAACTGTTTTGAAGTCTGTTGGTTTCCAAAGCAATGAGGCAGCCAGTCTCGCCTCCACGGGGGTTGGAGTTGTCAAGGTCATCAGCACCATTCCTGCCACTGTCCTTGTAGACCACGTTGGGAGCAAAACCTTCCTCTGTATCGGCTCCTCTGTGATGGCAGCTTCATTGGTGACCATGGGCATCGTGAATCTCAACATCCCCATGAACTTCACCAGTATCTGTAGAAGCCATAGCCCTATCAACAAGTCCCTGGATGAGTCTGTGTTTTATGGGCCAGGAAATCTGTCAGCCCATGATGACACTCTTAGAGAACTCTTTAAGGGGATGACTGCCCACACCAGAAACTCCCTAATGCCCACGAAAAATGATGTGGATAAGAGAGGGGTGACGACCTTTCCAAGTGCTGGACTGAGCCAAGCTGAATACCAGACAGTCACAGACCCTGCGGACGTCCCAGCTTTCTTGAAATGGCTTTCCTTAGCCAGCTTGCTTGTTTATGTTGCTGCTTTTTCAATTGGTCTAGGACCAAGTAAGTATTTTATTTTTTTATTCCTTCCTTCTTTGCCCTTATGAATGTTAACAGATTGCTTTTGACCATCAGAGCATCTTACGGCTATGGTACATTTTACATAAAACTACTAGAAGTAAGATGGGGATAATACTGGCCACCTGATGTTTCTACTAATGTGGAAAGTATGCTTGGCTCATACCTCCTTTGTGAAATGTGCAGGGCTGGTATTCAACAGAAAGATTAGTTTTCCATTATCTGTCACATGAGGATAATTTAAGAGCGATTGATTGGAGTAAACCAGACCTCGAAAGAGACATATTGCCCAAGAGAATATATTGTTTTATGAAAGCAGTTTACTGGGATAACATTTTCTTCTGTATCATTCCTGAGTTCTTTATAAATGGAAGAAAAAAAATCAATCATTCAGATTTTCTTAAAGGCATACTCCGGGAGGCATTTAGTAAAGAATGAGGAACTGGAAACAATGAGTTGGGAAGGAGGGTGGATTATTCCTTTAAGTACCATGTGTTTTATCACCAGAGTAACCTCCCTGAGCACTTTACTCGTTAAGCAGGAGAATGGGAGTCAAGGTACTCCCATTCAATACAATATAAGCAATTTACAGGGAGATAGCTCCACGGCTGTCTTATTTTATGCAGCCAGTCTACTCCAACGACAAACTTTAAACACTTCTTCTGCACAAACTCTCTAGAGTTTTCTAGATCAGGTTGTTGCAGTTCCTTGTCTTGCAGCCTCTTACCCAGTCTAAAACTCTCTTTAGCGAAGTAAAGTGCACCTCTTACACCTTGCTTTTATTCTCTCAGACTTCTCTCCCCTTCTCCCTTTCTTCCTTCCTCTCTCACACAAAGTCTTGTTTACGAGGATAGAAGGAAGTAGTGGAGCTTGGGAGCATGAGAAGACATAAGTTATGCTGAAGGAGAAGGAATCTCATGGACAAATTTTGGTTCCTGGTGTCAGTGTTTCCAGAAAGAAAGTCACTTTAGGGCTTGCTCTGGTGATCTACGGTTAAGTCACTAACTCTTCATTCAGGTGATATGTATCAAGTGGCTATTTTTTCCCAAGAACAAAGAACCATGCCAGATGTTGGGGAAAGAGTAATGAACAAGACAGACACTGTCCCTGTCTTCAAGGAGATTACTCCTGACTTCACTGAGCTATATTCCCTCTGCCTGCTGCTTTCTGGTCGGCGACTGGTGGGTTTGGCCTGCTTAATCTCAGGTAAGGAATAACTGGATTCGCACAGGGCGGATCCAGCCTCTCCTGCAGCTCTGTTTCCTCACCGTGCGGTGGGCTGTAAGTGAGATCAGCCTCTGGATATTGACTCTTTCAAATTCCAGAATGAGAGAAGGAATCTCGTTGACTCTGCTCTTTGCCATGCAGAGTCATAATTGGTTGTTCAGGGACACCTCTAGGCCACATGGTCCAAACTATGGACGACCAGAGCTGGCCCTTCCTCTGGCATTAAGAGTAGACGAGTCTGCTTACGAGACCTGTACATGGACGGATAGAGTAAATACTACAATGCCATCAGCTTCTGATCTCTCTGACTTGTTTCTGAACCTTGGCCCACCTTGTTAGGACTTAACAAAGATAAATATTATTAATGAACAGTTTCCTAGAAACAGGTTTCTACTATATTTCAGGATTTAGTTATCTTGGGTGTGTACCTGGGAGACATTTGTCTTAATCGGTTTGGGTTGCTATAACAAATCACCAAAGACCATGGCTTAGACAACAAAGGTTTATTTCTCACAGTCTAGAGTCTGGCAAGTCCAAAATCAAGGTGCTGGCAGATTTGTTTGTTGGTGAGGGCCCCCCTCCTGGTTTGTAGATGGCCATCACTTTCTTGGTGTGTCCTCACATGGCAGAGGGATGGAGAGAGAGAGAGACCTAGCTAGCTTTATTATGTCTCTTCTCATAAGGCATTAACCCCATCATAGGGCTCTACTTGATGACCTAATGACCTCCTACAGGCCCTACCTCCAAATATCACATGGAATCAGGACTACAACATATGAATTGTAGAGAGGACACAAACATGCAGTCCAGACAAATACTTAATGTCATTACTCTGGTACATGAAGCTAATGAACTTTGAAAAAGCATCTTATACTTTTATTTTTAGAAACTCTTTAAAGTCTACCAGAAGGGCAAGAAAGAAGTGTTAGTTTGTACCAAGGAACAACTTAACCTTCTTTGTGAACTTTCCTGTATAAATAAGTACAGTCAGTTTTGCTCATATGATAAACATCAGGTGATATTGTCCTCATTGATTTCCTTTGCCAGCATCTTTTTTTCTATAGATTTATTATAAAACAAAATATTTTTTACATCAATTTTCTTGATACGATTTTTTGAAATATCAAGAATCAACTAAGAATCTAAGGAAAGCTTAGCAAAAAGAAAAGGATGCTTTCTTTGTTTTAAGTCAGAGACGTTGATCTTAAACTTCAGAACCCACCCATTCATGGTCAGAGTTTTCCCCAGCTCCTACTACCCTTCTCCCTTTAGTTTTTGGGTGACTTTGAAAAAATGCAGCAAATTCTCAGCACTAGTCTATCATTTGATGCATTATTTTATTAGAACAAGAATTCCCCTTTTCAGGAAACTTAGTTTGATTTTGGAAAAAAATATTGGGGGCTGTTTGTTATATGCCTTTTAGGATTCTTTAAATAGTATTCTATGCTAATTTTAAAAAAATGATTTGGGCTTTAGATTTGACTAATATTTATTGACACCTCTTACATCAGATACATAAGAGGAAGGCTTTTCATACTTTGGAGCGTTTCATTTTACTTTCACCACAAGCCTGTGAAGAAAAAGTATTCATCAAATTTTATAAATGGTGGCACTCTATCTCAGAGAGGCTAAGTAACTTTCTCAAATAATTGAAAATATCTCCTGTCTTCTGAAATTCAGTGGTAATGCCTCGTCGAGGACACGAATAGACAGTCCAGTGTTGGTCTTGTTAGTAAATGTTAATTCCTTTTAGTTCCCTCTGCTATGAAAATACATTAGAAGTAAGAATGAATGGAAATAGTGAATCACTGTCCACTGTGCTTTGGGCCACTCTGCATTTTATGCAAGAAAGAGATAGTCTCTCTTTTTCTGAAAATCTGCTCTGTAAGCGAGCATGTCTGTTTATGAGGCTGAGCTATACAGGATAAGAGAGGGAGGATAATGATAAGTTTTGATGTGTCCTCACTTGTATAACTGAACTTGATTCAGATAATGTTTTATGTGTATTTGGTTAGAATTCAAGCTCAGCCATAACAGAGACCAAAGTAATAGTGGGTGAACTAAGGTTGGAGTTTGTTTATCTCTCATTTAGCACCTGAGTAGTTCTGGGGGCTGTGGAGGCTTCCAGGGTCAAGTGCCAGAAGGCTATAGATGGTGTTCCCAAATCTCCCTGTAGCCAGTGCTTTACTGTTGGTTCTCTATCATGATGACTACTTAGAAATACTAAGATGCATTTTAAAATTTCATCATCCTTTTCTGATGGCTAATGGTCCCTTGGGAATAAGCTAAAGGCAAGAAGTACAGTCAATGAAAGGGAGGCTGGGTATAGAAGGGCCTGGATAATAAGGCACTGTGAGCAATTCCATCAGGGAAGCAGAACCACTGTGAGGAATGGGGGCAAGGAATTTCCTACTAGGGTTGCGCCTCATACTGGGGAAGATGAGAGGGGAAGACAAAGGAGATGGTGAGAGGAAAAGGAGAAGGTTGTTTCTCAGGGTCACAAAGGGAAACTGGTGAAGAAACCTGTGGAAGCCTGTGGAAGCCTGTTGCCTCTGCCTCTGGCTATGGCCTGAGGTCTCTGCAGGTCAGCAGGGTGCAGGGAAGAAAAGCTGGACTCAAAGCCAGGACAAATTGGAATCTGTGAGAAGCGACTGGAGCCCGTATCTGTCTCTCACCACATCAACTCTGAGGACACTGGTCACCTTCAGAAAAACAGGTGTCCTTCTCCACAGAATCCTGACTGTGTGCCTGGTCTAATAGTAGGAAAGGCTGGAGGAGGGGACCCGTTCACTGGCTGTTCCCCCAGACCAGCGAGGAGAGGCAGCATGTCACAGCAATGTGACAAGCTGCCGTGATGTCTAGGACCCAGCATGGGGCTGATGTGTCACTTTGGCCTTCCAAGTTTCTTTCAAATATTATCTTCCCAGCAGCCCTCACCAAAAACTACACAGAGGAGGGAACTCTGGGAAATGTAGTTCCAGCTGGGATAAATGGACACAGTATAGAACCGTCCAAGTAAGAAACTCTGGACTCAGAGAGAATAGCTATGAATATGGAAAAAAAAATATTCCAGAAGGTCAACGGCCCTGAATTATCTCTTCAAATGCTGTGATAGGTATTTATTTCTTTTAATTAAAACATTAATTGTTAAAATGGATGACTAGCTTCCATTCCATCTCTTTCTGAAAAGAGATGAGGTCATTAAATTAATGTCTCTTGGCTTTTGTTTCTCTAGCTATAAAACCAAAAAACACTCATTTGCTAATGCACTGTAAAAGCCTCCACATTTATTTTCTCAGGGGCGTTCATGATCTCCCTTGAGCTGATGACTCTCACTTATCTCTCCAGTTCTATCGTGTCATATGGCTTCTAGTTCCTTTTCTCCTAATGAGTACTGGATTTTTCTACTTTTATGCTTTACTGTCAGCCCAAGGTGAGAAGCCCAAATGTTGAATTCTTTTCTCCCTTATGCCAGGGGAATGTCCCTTGCTGTCATTCAGTCTGGTGTTCTGGGCCTTTTCTCAATCCAGTCAATGACCAAATGTTCTTGCATTTCCCCTCACAAATGGCTCCTGTGTGTATCTTTTCCTTTCCATTTCCATAGTCTACCCCATATGAGCTCATGCCTAGATTCCTGGAAGACCCTTCCTGTAGTTCTCTAAACACTGCAGGTCCTTCCCATGTCCACCCATCCGCCAAGGGAGAGCACCTTTGTTACCATGTTCCTCATGTCAGCATGGCTCTTGAATCTTCCATGG